GGTCGCTCGTTCGTTCAGTGCTCATGATGATGATGATGATGATGATATTAAATGAGATTTTATGCGTGATATCATTTTTATTTATTTGTATTTTTTTTTCTATTTCATCATCATTGGATCATCATCATCATCATCATCATATTGGTAATCGAAGAATTCAGCTGAGCACTGAATTATAAAAAAAAATAGAATCCTGGAAATATCTTTTGTTCCAGCGAATTTCTTTTTTTTTTTCAAAATATCAAAATGTCGAATGGTTTTTTTTTTTGAAAATAAATGAAGAATGAAAAAAAAAAAAATCCTAATTAGAAAACCAAAAATAGAAAATAAAATACACATACACATGGGCCTTTTTTTGTGGAAAAATGTTGAAATACAAAGAAACAAGAATAAAAAAAAATCCATTTCATTTTGATTGAAGCTATGATGGTATATATAGTATATAAAGAGCGAAGCAAAAAAAAAAAAAAAAAATTAAAAGTGTCAAAAATGATTCCAAGGGTGTAGCCAGCCATTTTGTGCTTCAAGATAATTAGAGATCCAGTCCAGAATCCTGTGTGTGTGTGTGATTCATTTAATGATTTGTCGTCTATATATATAGGTGTACACACTGTACACCAAACCAATAATGGATCAAATCAAAAAGTAAAACAAGAAATCTGAGAAAAAAAACGAATCATTATTATTTTTTGGCCATCAAAATATCAAAAAAAAAGAATGAAGTAATTTTTCTTTATGATTCTCACACGCAATCATCAAATGTTTGCAAAATAAAACACGCACAGGACAACATAATGATGAGATAATAATAATAATCATCATCATCATCATTATTATTATATATGATCGAAGAATCGAAGAAGAAGTAATCATTCGATTCCAAAAAAACGAATGAATAATAATGAAGAATAAAAAAAAATTGACAGCCATTATTTTGAAGTGCAAGTTATATATATATAGAAAAAAAAAAATCAAGAAATTAACGCACACAAACCAAACCACCCACGCAAACAAAAAAAAACAGAAATTATGAAAAATGAAATTAATGTCCATCATCATCATCATCGAAAATAGTCGAGCTAGTTTGTTCCACCCAAGTACATTATTTTTTTTTATTATTTCTCTCCAAAATCAAATTGAACAAATTTAATTTGTAAACAAATAACGTACTTGTATCAGAGATTGACAAAAAAAAATCGATCGATTCAAAAAAAAAAAAAAAACAACAACAGGATTGATGATGCGCAAAATGAAAATTCAATTATTTACTAATTTATCATCATCATCATCATCGTGATTATTTATTTAGTGAATAAAGAAGAAGAAAAAAAATGAGAACAAAAAAAAAGATTGGAAAAGAGCAAAAAAAATTCATTCAATCATTATATATTGATAAGTGTGTGTGTGTGTGTGTCCAAATGTTGAATGTTTGCCACTTACACACACACACAAACAAACAAACAAAAAGTGTGAATAGAAAAAAAAATGGACCAAACGAATTTCTTTACTTGAATCTGTGTGTGTGTGTATGGTACACACACACAAAAAAAAAATAATTTTATACAGACCCATCAAGACAGATGATCATGATCATGATGATCAAGAAGAAAAAGACCATTTTCATTTGTACCAATAACTAAAAAAAAAAAAAAAAAATTGGTAAAATTGGCGAAATTCCTAAAGATTCTGTTAGACAGTAATACTACTACTACTACTATCCTTTATTGGTTCAAAATCAATATTCGTGAATCTAAAATCTATCTATTAGATTAAAATGATTACCACCATGATATCATAAAATGCATTTACATTTACATGTACATAGAATATTCTTTCTCGTTTTTTTTCATATATATATACACATCTTTGTTCATCATTCTCAAGTGTTTTCATTCATTTAACCCATTAATGCCCATCATCCTATATATAGGATATTTACTTGAAGATGAATAATTTCAAAACTATTCATTCAATTTTTATAAAATTAAAAGCGTTTTATTTCACGTTTATTTAGCTTCAAAATGATATATAACTCATCTGTATTCTCTTTATCTAAGTACAGTTAATTTGATCTTGATTGTCGAAAAGTCGGATTTTCTGAATGGCTAGAATTCAAAGTGTTGTAAGACCATTTTATAATCCGAAAATGATAACAATTTATATTAGAAAAATGTAAAATGATCTTCAAATAACATTTTTAATTAGGAGTTATCAAATTAAAATTAGATCTAATTACCGCAATGATGATTTTCCGGTGATCCTATATATAGGATCATGGGCATTCAAAGTACTAAAATATCAACTTCTGTTATTATTGAAACCTATGTATTACATCGTAGTATCTCTTGTTTTCTATGTAGGACTAGCATATTTTTCCAAACAAAAATCTGGTTAATCTATTTATCAGTGTTTCTCAACCATAGGGTCACCATCAACACAAGACAAGACAATCAATACAAGATTATTACAGAAATTCCGGATATTTCCGGACTAAATCCAGACGTATGGTAACCCTAAGAATTTCTATGCCAAATTGTTAGAGTGCTATTCTTTTTATTAGTGAGAGAAACAAATTATTCAAGCTCCACACCAGCAATAAGAATCGCATTTTATTCTGAATCTGGCCATTGAAGATCGACAAAGAAAGGGAAAAATTAGATTATAGTTTTGATAAGAAAAATGAACTGTTTCTTGTAGGTTGAAAAGATAATAAAACAGTATATGTTATTTCGAACAAGAGGATTATTCCGAACACAGAATTGACGAACTGCTGGCCAACGAACTGAAATCTATGTATGGAAGTAAGGTGACCACAGTACCAATTGTATTGACGTGGGATGGTTTGGTCACAAGATACTTCAAAAAGGCCTGGGGTTTACAAAGAAAATCCAAGCGTATATCCAGGGTCAGGTGTTGAAGAGGACCATGTATAGCTCCCAGGAATAAACATGATAAAGTAAACTGAATGTGTATTGAACCAAACTCAAAAAACATGACCATCAAACAGCCAAAGTTGATTGAGGATTATTTGAGTAATATGGGATATGTTGTTTAGTAAAATATTTCTAATTACCATTTATCAATAAAATCGAGGAAGTAGTATTTTTTGCTATTCACTAATTCAATCGATTAAACCAGTCATTCACCAATTCATACATTTTATTGTATTGTAGACCCAAGAGAAAAAAAATTTCTTGAATATAAAAGGTCAATTTCGAAAATTTATTTATCATTGGACTCATTTTCAAAATTAAAAATCTTGGTCGACCAAGACATTTTAGCCTCGGTGATGAATTATTAAATACAGGGAATCATTTCATCATCAAGATACAAGATCACAAACAATGGACATGCCATGTTTGTAAAAAAAAATCACCGTATCAATAGATCTTGTACAATAAAAGTTTCTGCTTAAATGATTTTAAATAATATCATAGTAAATTATAAAATAAATACACTACAAATTGATGTATTTTTAATTAGTAAAATGATTTCGAAGAGAAAAACCGAATATATCAATTGTATTTGATAAAATAACAATAATATCCAATATATCCAATATATACAATTTTTGTTGTCTGTGTGCCCATCATCCTATATATAGGATGGAAGTTCAAAGTTCAATTTCTCGAAATATAAAAATTTTAAAAATAAATAAATGTCATATTTATTACTTGTAGCCATCAAATTTTTATAATTGATAACTTTTTTTCAAAAAAAAAATTTGGGCATTAATGGGTTAAAAAGAAAAAATTTTATAATCTACACAAATGAATGTGAATGGTAAAAAAAAAAAACTCAACACACCACACACCACACCCACTCTCACATCATAAACAAACATGGGTATTGTTGTTGTTGTTGTTGTTTTTTTACTTAAATTCTAAAACGTTTTCTCTCTCTCTCCCTCTATTCCGTTTATAGTGAGTTGTTTATTGGCGTTATACTTTCATTTTCTATAGAATGAGTTGTTGGAATTTTTTTTTTCTTGTTATTCAAGTTTTTTTTTCAGGAGTTTCTTAAATTTGATGAACGTGACTTTTAGAAACACACACACACACACAGACCAATGGCTATATAAAGAATTTTTTTTTCTCATTCTTTACTCATTATATAAATCATTTGTTCAATAATAGTTTCATCATCATAAAATAGAGAAAACAACAACAAAAAAACTAAGAAAACAAAAAGTATTCAAGAATTCATCACGAATGGTTCAAGAGCAAAAAAAAAAAAAAAATAGGCTCATGTGATGAAACAAATATTTTCTTTCTCTATTTTTAAAGATTAAGATTTGTCAAAAGAATACCCATACACCCATACATACACATACACACAGAATTTAGATCTAGAAGCTACTTATTCAATACCAAACAAACAAACACCCAGTTAAATAGTTTGATAGTATTTCTGTGTATTTGTGTGTGTGTGTCGGAATCAGTCTGGATCATTTTTTTTTCATTTCGTTTTTATATGTTCACTATAGTAGAAATAAATTAATATTAACGACACACACACACACACACACACACACACAAACATGTGATTGTAGTTAATGATTAGAGAATAAGACTTGGTGATGGTGGTGGTGGTGGGTGGTAGATGATGTTTGATTTAAAGATTTTGTTGCAAGACAAAAAAAAAAATGAAAATGTGGGGTGGTATAAGTATCAAAATCAAGATATTTTTTCACCATCATCATCTATCACTCATCATCATCATCATCATTATCATCATCATTCACCATTGGTGCTGAAATGGTTCCATTTGGAACAATTTTTTTCTCTTTGTATATAGAGAATTTTCCTATTAATAAAATGTTTTTTTTTCTTTTGGTTTGTTACAACAACACCACACACATACAACAAATACACATCATTTTTGTTTGTTTGTTTCATTGGACAACATTGGAATCAACATAGAAATAGAAATATCTTTGTTTTGTTTTTTTTTTTTTTTTTTGATTCTCGTACATTTTTCTTAAGAATAATAAAAAAAACGACAAAACAACAACTCAATTCAGCTAAAAGTCTTCGTTTCTGGATCAAGATCCTAAATTCTATAGTTTTTAGTTTATTGAAACTAAAAAAGAATCCAGAATATACATTAGATGGTTTAGTGAAAAGTGAAAAGGCCAAAAAAAAAAAACTTAAGAGCCTTAATAATAATAATAATAATCATCATAGATCAGTGGGAAAAAAATATAGCAAAAAAAAAACAGGAAAAGAATTCAAACTAACCAGTAGCCCAAAAATAGCTAATAGGATTGTGTTTGTGTATGGCTGCTGTATGTTTGTTGTTGGCTTTACACTTACCAGTAAAAAAAAAAAGGAGGAAAAAAAAAAATCTTATTCAGTTTGTGGCCGATATATTGGCGTAAGAAAAAAAAATCAATTTCTCATTGATTTTCTCTTCACTTTTGATTCATTTATAAATTCATTTTCGTTAACACACACACACACACACACACATTCCAGAATAAAGGGGACAAAAAAAAAATCTTGTCACCTATACATTTAGCAACTAGAAACAAAACAAAAAAACATTATTTCGATGTAGAGAAACAAAAATCAAATTATTTACTCACTGCTGTTGCTGTTGTTGTTGTTGTTGTTGTTGATTTCAATGAATATATTCAAAAGTAGGTGGAGAACATGATCATATCATAAATTATTACATAAACATAGAATTAATGCAGACAGAGAATATAAATGCACCAGAATATTTTGTTTTGTTTTGTTGTTTTTTTTTGCTCTTTATATATGAATATATTTCGTGAATGGAAATGAATTTTTTTTTTGTTGTTGTTTCACATTGTATTTCGTTTGGTTTCATTTCTTGCTGACCTGAGCAGAATCGATTCTAAGAAAATTTGATTATTTATTTTTGACTCCAACAAAAAAACTCTACTCACCACTAATATGTGGACATAATCAAAAAAAAAAAAAGGTCAATTTATCTTCATTTTTTTACGGGGCCATAGTTCTATTAGATGGATGGATGAATGGATGGATGTGATGGTTCAGATATTAACTATTCAGATTTTGAAAGCCTAAACAACAACAAAAAGTGAAAAGAAATTGATTATTTCAATGGGCCATAAGTGAAAATTTATTATTATTTTTTTATATACAAATAAATACAGGAAAAGTGAATAAAGAGAATCAACAGTAAGGAAGAAAACATTGTATTCATTCATTTTGTGAAGAATTTGCATTTTCTTTTTTTTCACGATTCTTTCTCTTTTTCTTTCAAAAAAAATTTTTTTGCTGACAAAGTCAGTTGACGCATAAAAGAATGAGAAAAAGTGAAAAGAAAAAAAAAAGGAAAAATGAATTTTATTTTCACACCAAACGCACACAATAAATACACACATACACAGACACACATTTCATTTTCATTCTATTTAGCCCTCAAGGACCGGGTGTGTAAACTCTTTGCATTTGACAATTTTCTGACAAGAATAAAATGAAAAAATAGAATTCAAACAACAACAGCGACAACAAAAAACCTGAGTATTCATAAAATAACGAAGAAAACTTTCACACACACTATATATATATTTTCATTATTATTCTTGTCGAATTTTTTTTTCTCATCTTTTTTCTTTATTCAATCACATCCACACACACACACGTATAAAGAGAACGGTTGAAAACGAAAAAAAAAATTTCGTATGTTGTATTAGTGTCGATGATGATCAAGATGATAATGTATTCATCACCATGACAAAAACAATAACAACAACAACAACAGGAAAAAAAGAATAAGAACACTTAATTAAAATAATGTGATTACTTACATCTATATATGACAATGAGGTAAAGTCATATGATGATGATGATGATGATGATGAATGAAATGTTCCATGTATACAATGAGACAATGTTGATAATGTTTTAGATGAATGATATAACAATTACGGCCAATGGTGGACATGTTAGAATTTTTGTTTTTTAATTAACAAGATGATTTAAATAATGTCATCATCATCATCATTGTTCATTGAGAATTTTTTTCTGTGTGTGTGTGTGTGTTTTGAAAATGTGATTTCATAAGAAAAAGCCATTGTTGTTGAATAAAATGACGAATAAACTTATTCATATGATAATGATAATTAACACAAGACAATTTTTTTTTTTTTTGGCTTGAAATGGGTGATTTTGACATTTTTGTTTTTGCTTGTTCGTTCCATTTTTCTTTTTTTTCATTTTAATATCATTATTGAATTGAAAGATTCTTGCATTTATTTATTGATGACGATGATGATGATGTTTCCATTAACGTGATGTCATTTCATTCATTGCTGACAAAAGAAAAAAAAAAAGAAAAGAAAAAAATTAATTTACCCATGTAAAATTCAAAAAAAAAAAAAAAATGAAGAAAAACTGAAATTCAATTAACCATTTTTCAACAACAACAACAACAACAAAAAAAAATGTTGATCTTGACAAAATTTGACAATAATAATAACAAGTGCGTGTGCGTGTGCGTGTGTCTACAATTATTCAACAAAAAAAAGAGAAAAAAAACACAACATTATTATTAATTTAAGAATGAATGAAATGAAAAATTAAAATTAAAAAAAAAAAAAATTTTTACTTAATGGTTTTCACGAGTATATGGCAAATGTAAAATTGAATCAAATATTTTCTTCTTCTTCTTCTTGTTCCTCATTCGTGTTTTTTTTGTTGTTGTCGTACAATCACCTATATACAACATGCATGTAATTGTGTGTGTGTGTTCCTAATCATTAAGAAAAGACCAAAAAAAAGAGCAACAAAGAAATGTAAATCAATTACCTTGTTTTGAATTCCATGTGTGTGTGTGTGTCAAGTAAAGTTGAAAATAGAAACGATGATGATGATGATGATGATGAAAAAATTACATTGAAAATTAGATTATACATGATGATGATGATGATGATGATGAAAAAATTTTGAATAAAATATTTAAAAGTTTCTTTTATGCAAAAAAAATAGATAAGTAGCTAGTGGTTCTTTGTTTACAATCAAATAATAATAATAATAAATATTTGAAACGGAAATCTGGAATGAAAAAAAATTCGAATGAATGAAATGTGAGAAACAAACAAACAACATAATAATGATCAGAAATATCGATATCGGTATCGATTTTTTTGTTAATTCTATTGAATTGAATACTATTCGCATACGTACCTATTTTTCTGGTCATTACGTGAAGAATACAGACAATACAAAACAATAATCGATTCTTGAAACTTTGAAAAGATTCCATTTTGTTTCATTAAAATTTCATTGAATTTATCCAAAAAAAATAACAAAAACCAGTGATATAGAGTTGAATTTGTAAAGGAACCAGAATTCGATTCGATTGGAAAACAAATAAATAAATTTCTTCATTACTATTGATGGGAAAAGAAAAACAAAAATAAATATAATCTAATTGTGATTCAATAATGATTATGATAACATGAAAAAAAACGATTGGATTACCCAATGAATGAGAATTCGTTTTTTTCTCTCTCTCTCTCTGTCGAATTATTTTCCATTTGATATCGGGTTAAATAACGGGAATTCATCGCACACACACACACATTACCCAATGAATGAGAATTCGTTTTTCTTTTTCTCTCTGTCGAATTATTTTCCATTTGATTTTAAATGTTTGGTTTTAATGTTTGGAATAATAAAATGAATGAGCAATTATAGTGGATAAAGATAGTGCAATCCAACAAACTGTCGACCAGTTTATATAAAATTTTCCATTCGTTTGGTATGGCATTAACCACCACCATCGCCAACAGCATAATCCTGCCATGTGAAAAAAAGAACCAAAAATTGAATTTTCATGTAAATGTCGCATATATATATGTTTAACAATGAGCGATTGGTGAAGAAAAAAATTTTACAGAAAATCTGTGAACAAGAAAAAAAGAATTAGATTATCAAAATCAAATAGAAATAGAAACAAGATATTAAAGCGATTCAAATGAAAAAAAAAATGCTTTTCACTGCTCACCACATGATGATGATGATCAAAACCCAAATTCGATTTGTTCTCGACATTTTGTGTTTTGTTCAAAGATCATTATGAATCTGGTGATGATTTTGAATCTGATGTGTCTGGTCATCATCATTTGATGACCAATTTGATGGTTTGATGGCACATTTGGGAATAATTTACAAAACTATTCCTATTTCTGTTCAACGATTTAGTTTCGGGTTTTTTTTTCTCCTGGAACGAAAATTTTACACTACTCAAAAAAAGCCACCAATTGACATTTATTGGTTGTTGCACCTAAAAAAAAAAAACAAATAATGATGTCGTCTATATTTTGAACAACAATGGATAGAGATTTCAAAAACATTCCCAGAATGAGAAATTTTTTTTTTTCGTTGTTTGATCCACCACCACCACCATCATTTTCATTGTTTTTCTATGAATTTATACTTTGAATTCATTCGAATGAATGAACAACATAATGATATGGTTCTTTTGTCTATATGTTGAACAATAATTTCATTGGAACATTTATCGTTTTGTTTTTGTTTTTTTTTTTTTTGGTGAATCCATCATCATATGAATAATGTCTAGTTGTCGGAATATTGTTGTTCAAAGAAAAATTTTTTCGTTGTCTTCGATCAAGTGTTTTTGGAACACAAACATACATATACCGACATGAATAATGGAATGTTTCGGTAAATCACATGATTCAACAAAAACAAAACAAAACAAAACAAAAATGATAGACATGAATAATTTCTATAAACAAACAAACAAACAAACAAACCAAAATAATGGTAAACCACACGATTCGTGAGAATATTTTTCTTCAATCAATAAAAATGATCAAATCAAAACAACAACAACAACAATAACAACAAAATTTCGAAATTCGAAACTATTTTCATCCAAATTGTTGAAATAATGAAAATAGACAATTTTTTTGTTTGTCGTAGTAGTACACGGAATAGTAGCATAAATTGAAACTTTTTGCCTATCATAGGATGTTAGTTTTTTTGTTTAATGAACTACTAGCAAACTAAGAATTTCAAATGCCACACTTTTGATAAACCACTACTACCACCGCTACTGTTGTTATCGCGGAAATGATTCGATTTTTTTATTTTGTATAACAATGATAACAACAACAAACAAAAAAAATTTGTTGCGAAAAATTTGATGCGTTTTTCTTATTTCATCATCATTATCCAACGAAACAACGAATTTTCTATTTTTTTTTTTTTATAAAATTGTTGTCAAGGTCAAGGTGACTGATTCTGTGATTGTCAACAAGTTTGTTATTATTTTTTTTTTCATTATTACCAATTTATAAACCATGATGATGATGACTAATGATAAGCATTTTATTATTCCAAAATAGATTCAATTTTCAACAATTTATAATAATAATAATCATTTATATCTGAATAATATTCATTACCAATTCCGTAAGTCAAGATATTTTTTTTTACTAAAACATCGTAATCAATCAATTATCATTGAATATTTATTGGTAACATGAATTTCAATCTTCATGTCGTTTGAGTTTGTGTTTCATTTCATTTTTTTGTTCTCGGTAAATTGTATGAAGATGCCCATTGCTATGATAATGAATGATGGCTTGTTATTTAGTATTTTTCCATTCTCATCATCATCATATATTCTATTTTTCGAATCGATTCAATACAACAACTGCAAAAAAACGAGTTGATTTAAAAGTTATGATTGAAAATCATTTAGCTTGAAGCAAAAAATTTTTTTGTTTTCATTTGTTTGTATCATCATTGACTCTCGTTTATTATATGATACACACACACACACACACACATACAGAGATCACCCATTCTATGATGATGATTCGTCGATGACAAAAAGCGAAGAGTTTCCAATTTTCAAAGTCGAACAACAACCATCAAATAAAACAACAACATTTCATTCTCTCTATATATATGAATCAGTATTCGATTCATTTCGATTTTTGTTTTTCAGATTCGTTTTATTCTGTATTGCCTTCAAGGTTTTTATTTTTCTCAATATATTCGTGTATAAGGGTTGTTTCTTTTTATTGCTTGTCGTTTGTGTCTCTGTGTGTGTGTGTATGTCTGTTTGTGTTTGGTCATTTGTCAAACTTGAAAACATTACATCCTCAAAAAATGATGATGATGATGATCATTGATGCGTGCGAGAGATGTAGAATTTTCTTTTCTTTTCTTTTTGGTTAACGGTGACGAAAAATCGAATATATAAGTGTGTGTGTGTGTGTGTGTGTTGTAAATAGACAATTCCATACAAATGGAAATTCTATTTTGCTGATGACCAAACTCAAAATATACAGGTGTATAGTCATTCAATTCTTTCCCATGGCCGAGGTCAATTTTGTTTTTGTTGTTTTCGTGTTTTTTTTTTTTTTGTTTGTTTTGTTTTGTTTCACTATTTCTGATTATTTTCACGCACATAAACATACATCTTAAGGATATGTTTGAAATTTTTAGTTTTCTCTATCCTTGTAAAATTCAGAAATGCATTTGTGTGCAAGAATTTTTTTTTCTTTATATCGTTTACTTATCTCGATTCATTGGATATATTCAGGATGTTGAATGATGATGATGATGTGTTTATCCAATCAATTGGAATGAATATTATCATATCACCTTTTTTTCGAGAATGTACACAACAACAACAACAACAATCAAATTCTATTCGAAAATAAAAAAAAAATTCTTTTCAACATTTTAGCTAAAAGATTTTTTTTCCATTATATATTTCCCTTGTTGATGGGGGGAAGATTTCTAATTTTTTTTTTTTGCTGGTTAAATTAGTTTATAATGTACAATTGCAACGATACGAATCTGGGTGGGTGGGTGGTTGTGGCTATATTGGCGAAAAAAGAAATGGCCAACCACCATCCACACCCACCAAATTTCAAGTTGTTTGTCGTTTTCATTCTCAAAAAGCTTTGTGTTTGAACTCTTTTTATATTTACTATTGTATACAATGTATGGATGATGATGGTGTGTGAATATATCCTCTTGGGAAGCGTTGATGCAAAAATGTTGTTGTTGTTGTTGCTGTTGCTGCTGCTGCTGCTGTATATGATCCATCGTCTTAAACCAAAAAAAAAAAAAAGAATCGAGAGAATAGTGAAAAAAAATAGAAAATGAGAAGCCAACTTGATAAATCAATCGACCGTAACACTTCGAATACTATAGTATAGAACCAAAATCAAGTATATGTCTATTACACTTGAAAAAAAATGAAAGAATGAAAATCACAATGTATGACGAAAATTTTTGTGCGTTTGATTCTCGCTAATGCAATATCGATGTGTGTGTGTGTGTGTGTGTAAAGATGAAATGAAAACAAGAATTTTTTTTTTTTTCATGTGTGTGGGTGTTTGGGTGGTTGGTTGGTTGATTGGTGGATATCTTTTTAGCCCTTTCCTAATAGAAATTAAAAAATTTTTTTTTCTCTCACTTTGAGAATCGATCCACAATCGAATATAGAACATGGACGATTCATGGAAATTTTTTTTCTAATTGATCGTAGTACGATCATCGTACCCATCGCCCATAAGAAGGTGTTGTAAATTTCATTCATTTTGATTGCTTGTATTTTCAGGTTGTTGTTGTTGTTGGACATTGATCGATTTTGAAATCTATCGATTTATAATTTGTCTCTAGCTTTTTTTTCATTGAATGAATGATACAAAATTCTCTTTTTTTTCTCTATTTATTCTGTTTGTTGTAAAATTTTTCATTCTTGCAATGTTTGTCTCATATCATTCAACAAAGGAATCAAACGCATACACACCCATTTGTCTATTTTTTTATATTCATTACATTCCCTACTTTTTTTGCCGGGCCATTTGTTGTTTCAATTCAATTTCCTTGTGTTTGTGTGTGTGTGTGTGTGTGTGTGTGTATGGATAGTAGAATTTTGATTCAATTCTTTATTCTATGTTGTTCGTTTTTTTTCATTCAATGAAAAAAAATAGGTCCAGAATATTTTTTTTCTTCGTTTATTATTATTATTATTAAATACAACAATAACACGATTCCAATGGTTGAGCAACACAATACAATAAATCGAATCGCATGAATCGTTTTTCTTTTGGACAGAATTTTTAGTCTTTTGTATATGAAGAATAAAGGAATAGGTTATTCAGATTGAATTTTGATTCTGATTTTTTTTCCTATTATTATTATTGTTGTTGTTGTTGTATTATATAATGGAATTTTTCTTTTTTTTTCACAAATACACGAAACATCAAACGAAAAAGAAAAAATCGAATCGAATCAAATCAAAGATGAAAATATTTCTATTTTCACTAAGGTCTATTATTCATTCTGCTATGCACAATCGATCACCAACACGACCACCACCATCACCTAAGATGAATTTTCTTTGAGATTCACTTTTTTTTATTATATTCAATAGTAAATTTGGTTTGTGTGTGTGTGTGTGTTGATTGTGTGAATCGTCATCATCATCATCATCCGATTTGATTCATTGCAATTCTTTATTCTGTTGTTGTTGGTGGTGGTGGTGGTGGTGATGATGGTTGGCTTCTAAATAGATGTTTATATTACCCCCATGATGGTGGTATATATATATACAATTCTTTAATGTTGGAAATCAATTTCTTTCTCAATTCATTGTCCACATTGTTTGGTTATATTTTGTTGTCGTAATTCTTGGTCTGGATTTTCTCTTTGTTGTTGATGATGTTGTTGTTGTTGGTAGTGATCGATTATAGCCAATGTCCACCTAAATAATAATAAAAATACCATGATCATATCACATTGATCTTATTAGTAAACACTACTACTGAATACGAACCAAAAGAAAAAAACTTTGGACGATTCAATAGAATAATTTTTCTTGATTGTTTGGCTGATTGGAACGATTTTTTATTATTTTTTTGGTGTTATATATTTGTTGTTGGTTCCTGGTTTTTCGTTTTTTTTATTTTGGTTGTTGAAAATCCAGTTTCAAAGTTTTGTTTGTCCAGTGTTGTTGTGTTTGTTTGTTTGTGTGTGTGTGTGTGTACTGGTTCTGTTTGTTGCAAGATAGTGCATCGAGAAAAGAGAAAATAATGATTTTTTTTTTTTGTTAGTAGTGCAAAATCTCTCATTTTTTTCGGCTTTTTTTTCTTGGTTTGCCCAAAAAAAAAAAAAATCCTCTAGTTATAAATGGGGTGTGTGTGTGTGTGTGTGTGGATAAAACCGAAAAGCATCTATCCATCTACCACCATTTTTGGTTTTATTTCGATTTGTCTACACTTTTTGTCTATTTTTTTTTTATTTCTAATACAAACAAACGTTTTTCCTAAATTCAATAACACTGTGTTTTTGTGTTTATGTTCGTGTGTGTGTGTGTGTTATCCAATAAATAGGTGTCTGGAATTTCTACATGTGGACACACCACCACCACCACCACCGACAACAAAGACGGTACCGGATTTTTTTTTCTATACCCACTTGGATAATCGAATTTTGGTCGGTTTGAGTTATTTTTGGATTTGATTTATCAAATTTTTTTTTTGTCTTTCGTTGTTTATTTTATTCGA